GCTGGGCCCCCCAGCGGGATCGCAACCCTCGGTGTTGCTCCCGCGCCTCGCTCAGCCAGTGAGCGGGAACCGGTCTGTATGTGGGATCCGAACCCTCGGCGGGAGCGCCACCACACTCCCAAGCGGTGCACTATAGCAGTGTGCCACCGGGCCGGCCCCTGGAACATAAGTTTTTTAAAAAGGTCCTGGATGAGGAAGAGACCTACTGGTACAGTGAAGATCAGTTGCCCACCCTGATATAGTCAACAATGGCCAGGGTACCAGGACCACATAAGAATGAAAGCTCCCTCAATTGCCATGCAGATTGAGGGTATAGCTTCCAGGAGACTAGTAAGCCAGGCAGATGATACCATCTAGTAAGACTAGTAAACTGAGCAGATGATACCAGTAAAGGATTTCAGAGCCTATGTGTCACAGAGATTAAGCAAGCAAAGTAAAGGTTTTTAAGTTAAATAGAAAAAAATGAGGCAAATTATATGAATTATGTTACATATGCTTTTTCCCTTCATATATCTCTATTTAGTTTTGCAGTGGCTCCTGGGATAAGATGCTAAAGATCTGGTCTACAGGTAAATTACATATTTCTTTTACTTTGACTTATTAATGATATTTGAAGAATTTCAGGCTGGTCGGATTGTTCATTTGGGAGAAGATGGTGCTGATAATACCAAGTTTAAGGGTTCAGATCCCTGTACTGGTGAGCCACTGGGAGAGAAAAAAAAAAAAAAAAACAATTTCAGTGAAAGAGGACTTTTCAATCCTTTTTTTTTTTTTTTTTGTCTTTTGTCTTTCCATGTCCGGCAACGGATTGCAACCCTCAGTGTTGCCCCCACACCGGACCGGGGACTGGCAACGGGATCGCAACCTTCGGTGTTGCTCCCGCGCCTCGCTCAGCCAGTGAGCGGGAACCGGTCTGTATGTGGGATCCGAACCCTCGGGCGGGAGCACCGCCGCACTTCCCAAGCGGCGCACTTATCCAGTGCGCCACCGGGCCGGCCCTCAATCCATATTTTGCCATAAAGATAGACCAGAGCTTTTTAGGACATAAAGGAGCATAGTAAGGTGACAAATTAGTATTTTTCCTTGTGTTTCAAGATTTTTTTCTACCCAACCACCCCCTTATTTCTTAGATAATGACATTGAATTGCTGCAATTATCAACAACATGTTTGATGCAATGGGACATGAGTACCTTAATTCTCAGGTTCCTTGTTCAGGAACCTAGAAATAAACAAAAATACTTTGAGTCATTTCAACTCAGAAGTCATTTTGACTAATTTAAAAATGATTTTTGAGTCATTTTACTGTTAGAGGAATTTTTTAGTGAAGCTGGTTTATTTTTAAAAAAATTTTAATACAGTTTACCAAGGTTAATATTCTTAATTTGAAAACGTAGATTAAAAGGAACAATTGAAAGTGAAGGAAGAAGAGGAAGGACTCTTCAAGGAAGGTGCCTTGAGAGTAGTAAGAAGACACTGATGGAAAGAGGAAAAAAACAGATATTTAAATTTTAAATTACAGTAGCTAGAACTATTTATTGCACAGGTAAACAGATTAGAATACCTCTGTTACTTTTGTGGAATATTTTATCTTCTGATAGTGCTAGGTAAATGAGATATTTTATATGAATAGCTGTATCCTTTAAGGGGTTTATAATCTTGTTAGGGAAAGCAGATTAATATTCATGAAAGTTACAAAACATTAAAATCTGTAGTTTTCAATCTGGGTGTGCTACCTAATCAAATGATGTGTGACAAAGGTTTCCAAAAATCAAAAAATAACTGAAATGCTTTTCTTTGTTAGAAAAGTGAAATAGTCGAGGACAATAAACATGGCTGAATTTATCTCCTTTTAACATATGTTTACCTTATCATTCATAACATAAGTGCAATCTGGTCATAACTATTCTAGAACTAAGAGTAAGCAATTTTTCATAGCTATGATAAAGTGATGAATATTCATAATGATGACCTTAAAGACATAGCAAGATATCAAACTGGTTAGGTTTTAGTATTTTAATGTACTTAATTTTTGCTTTCTCATTTTTGAAGATTGATGATCTACGTATTGTGTTTATATATAACTTTCTGTTAACCAAAATGATGAGTAATCCCTTCCCTAACCAGTTGAGAGAACATGGAGAAACTGTATACCCAGAAATGTAAAGAATTGTTTCAGACAGTTGGCAGTTAATATTGACTAAATTTTAAAAATATCAAATCTAATTCTCTATGATGCAGTCCCTACAAATGAAGAAGATGAAATGGAGGAACCCACAAATAGACCAAGAAAGAAACAGAAAACAGAGCAGTTGGGACTAACAAGGGTGAGCATTTGTGAGAAGTGACTGTACTCAGCCTAGGTCTGTATTGATGAATATATGGTAATTTAATATAGTGTTTCTTATTTATATTTCCTTTTGTCTCACCTTGCTTCTTCAACCATAATTGTGCTTTCTTTCAGTAGGTTGGTAAATTTTCATTGTAAACACTATTATTGCCACGTTTATCTGAGTCTTTGAATGTAGTAGCATTGAGTCAAGCTTACAAATTGGTAGGGGGATTAATTAGCTATTATATTTGATCCTATGGTGCGTTCTGAAGTGTAGGATCTTTTAATTGTTAAAGCTTGCTCTCAGGTTAAGTGAAGCATCTAATTACCTGAATGTTTAATATAATATTATTTGTTTCATACACTTAGGATATAATTCATATTAGGGATGTGAATTATATCTCCTAAATTACTGGAAACCAGGAGTTTAATTTGGGGTTTGATTCTATTATTTAGCTATTAGAACTCATTAAATCAAACTCTTGCAATCTGGTCATAACTATTCTAGAACTAAGAGTAAGCAATTTTTCATAGCTATGATAAAGTGATGAATATTCATAATGATGACTTTAAAGACATAGCAAGATATCAAACTGGTTAGGTTTTAGTATTTTAATGTACTTAATTTTTGCTTTCTCATTTTTGAAGATTGATGATCTACGTATTGTGTTTATATATAACTTTCTGTTAACCAAAATGATGAGTAATCCCTTCCCTAACCAGTTGAGAGAACATGGAGAAACTGTATACCCAGAAATGTAAAGAATTGTTTCAGACAGTTGGCAGTTAATATTGACTAAATTTTAAAAATATCAAATCTAATTCTCTATGATGCAGTCCCTACAAATGAAGAAGATGAAATGGAGGAACCCACAAATAGACCAAGAAAGAAACAGAAAACAGAGCAGTTGGGACTAACAAGGGTGAGCATTTGTGAGAAGTGACTGTACTCAGCCTAGGTCTGTATTGATGAATATATGGTAATTTAATATAGTGTTTCTTATTTATATTTCCTTTTGTCTCACCTTGCTTCTTCAACCATAATTGTGCTTTCTTTCAGTAGGTTGGTAAATTTTCATTGTAAACACTATTATTGCCACGTTTATCTGAGTCTTTGAATGTAGTAGCATTGAGTCAAGCTTACAAATTGGTAGGGGGATTAATTAGCTATTATATTTGATCCTATGGTGCGTTCTGAAGTGTAGGATCTTTTAATTGTTAAAGCTTGCTCTCAGGTTAAGTGAAGCATCTAATTACCTGAATGTTTAATATAATATTATTTGTTTCATACACTTAGGATATAATTCATATTAGGGATGTGAATTATATCTCCTAAATTACTGGAAACCAGGAGTTTAATTTGGGGTTTGATTCTATTATTTAGCTATTAGAACTCATTAAATCAAACTCAGAAAGTTCATCCAGATTTTTTAATTTAAAAAAAAAAAATTTAATTAAGATTGAACATATTCAAGGTGTATAACATGATAATTAGATATGTGTATATATTGTGTAATGATTACCACAATCAAATTAATTAACACATTTATAAAGTACCATGCTGTACGTTAGATCCGCAGAACTTGTTCATATTATAACTGAAAATTTGTACTCTTTGACCAACATTTCCCCATTTCCCCCACACCTCTGCCCTTGGCAACCACCACGTTTGGCATCTGGAAGCACAGATAGGCATATCAGACTATGGGATCCCCGAACTAAAGGTGAGTTGTGTAAACTACTGAGGGGAAAATATCAGTAAATAACATCAATTTCTCTTCTTACTGGAGATGTGTAAAGAAAAATAAAATTCTACAAATTTCTTTTGATTTGTTCTGCCTACTTTTCTAAAAATTCAACACTTTTTTTTCTTTATACAGATGGTTCTTTGGTGTCACTGTCCTTAACCTCACATACAGGCTGGGTCACATCAGTAAAGTGGTCTCCGACCCATGAACAGCAACTGATTTCAGGTTCTTTAGATAACATTGTGAAGCTGTGGGATACAAGAAGGTAAATCCTATTTATGATCTACAAAAAAACCCCATATCAATTACTTGTTATATACAGAGAAAATGAAATAAATACTGAAGTGATTATCGAAAACCAGGAGGGTTAAAAAAAAAAGTTCTTCTTATACTTCCTGATATAATAAATACTGATATCCAGAAGAAAAGCTAGGATCAAAGGAATTTTCATCATATTAATATGTTGTTTTTACATTCTGAAAGAATCTAATTCCGTATTGGTTTATTTTTACCAAAAAAAAACAACCCACAAGTTTATAAAATCTATTTTTCTGACTTTGTTATAAAACCAGGAGAAAATAAAATTTGTAAAGATTATCTTGAACCTTAGTATAAATTATATGTTAATAGAAAATTAAATATAAATACATTTTTTTAAAGATAACCAGGTATTAAAGGTGTTTTTCTTATAGGCTAGTGCTATATTAATAGTGTATATGAGCACGCTCATATAAATAAAATGCATACACAATTTATTTACATATTTTTACAAGTAGAATGGAGATATAGTAACCAAATACCTGTTTGTATGTTATTGTTCACCAAATCCTTACACTACCATAGTATATACATTTTAATTCTGTACTTTATATAACATTTAACATATAGTTTCTGATAATAGTAGTAAGAGCTATGAAGAAATTAAAGCAGGGTAAAGGGGCACTTCTTTGGGGAGGGCTCTCGTTGGAAGTGATATTTTAGTGGCAAATAGAACAAAGGTATGAACCATGCACAGCTCATGTTAGAGAGAATAGCAGATAAGGTGGGAAGTATCTTGGCAAGTTGGCAAAATAGCAAGAAGGTCAGTCAGTGTTGATGGAGTGGAGTAAGCAAGGATGAAAGTGGCAAGACATGAGGCATGTAGGGGTTATATCAAGCAAACGTGACCTAACAGGTCATCATAAGGAGTCTGGAATTCATTCTAAGTGTTATGGGAAGGCTTTGGAGGGTTTTCAGCAGGGAGCAAGATTAGAAGCAGAGAGGCTGTTGTAATTCAAGAGACAGGTAATGGTGAGTTGGACTATGGTGGTAACATTGGACATAAGTGATTGGATTCTGTATATGTATTTAAGATAGCTCTTTGACAGGATTGGCTTATGGACTGTGGAGATAGGAATCAAGGGTAATGCCCACATTTTCTGCTTAGGCCATTGGGTGATTGGTGGTACCATTTACTTTGATGGGAAAGAGTAGAAAAACAGGTTTGTGAGGGAAAAATCAAGAGTTTTGTTCTGGTTGTTTTAAATTTATAGTGCCGAAAAGACTTCCAAATGTCAGGCAATTGGATATACATATCAAGATCAAGGGATAAGTTTGGGCTGAAGATATAAATTTGGGAGTTATCAGTATATAGATGGTTAGACAAAGGATATATAAAGCCATGATTTGGGGGTAAAAGAAGTCAAGGAAGTGTGAAAATAGGCCTAATAACTAACATTTTTCCTAAATATATTTGTTGCAATAAATCTCTGTAGTCTGCTAATGATATAGGAAAAACAATAGAGATGGGCAAGTGAAACCCAGAATTTTAAGATTAAGTGGTTATTGAGGCAAGGATGGTAAATCTGTTAAGTGTGATATTCATATATGTTTGTTCATTTTAATACTATGAATTCATTTAACATGTTAATATTTCATCTTTTAGTTGTAAGGCTCCTCTCTATGATCTGGCTGCTCATGAAGACAAAGTTCTGAGTGTAGACTGGACAGACATAGGGGTAAGAATTTTTTAGTTATTTGGTAAAGAGGAAAATAAGTGATTAGAAAAAATCTGGTGTTTGCTAGACAAAATTTTTTTTTCTTTTTTTTTTGGCAGCTGGCCAGTCCAGGGATTTGAACCCTTGACCTTGGTGTTACAAGGTGGTTCTCTATCACTGGCCAGCCCAAAAATCTGGTGTTTGTGTTAATAAAGTTATTAGTTTCAATATATCTAATATTCATAATTCTGTATTCTGTTTCCCTTAATATTATTCATAAAATCTCCTATCTCATTCAAAGAAGAATAAATTTGTCCTTTAATAATAGGACTAGTAAAGTTTGAAATTTTGAAACAGTTTTTTTCTCATGATTATCTTAATGAACATTTTAAATCCATAAACTCACTCCTTCAGACTAACTGGATCAAAATATTTCCCAGTTAGAAAAGTCTTATGTCATAAGTCTGGATTTTAAAATGTGGTTAAAGAATTGCAATTCAGTTATTTTTATGTAATACTTAATTTCTTATTGCCTAAGAATTCTCTTCAAATACAGGTACTAGTGCTACTTGAATAATTTATAATATGCATTTACTTGCAAACAATTAATGTGCTGTCCTTTAAAAACTTTTGTTTTTTAAATAGGTAAAACTATATCACACTTCAGATTTTTCAATTTTATTATATATCTTAGCATATGCTTCATAGAAAATATAATAGCATATTGTGCCTCAACCAAATTCAAATGATAACTTTTAATGTCTTTTAATATAAGGTATTGTCATATAGTAGTGAAACTTGACATAATTGGTTCCTTTAGCTACTAACTGCAAGTTAACTGCTCATCCGGGATTCCTTTTGTAATCAAAATCATCAGTATTTAATTAGGTTTAGCTATCATATGAAATAATTGTACTTACTTACGTTTTTATGTCTTTTTATCTCCTTTACACAGCTACTTCTGAGTGGAGGAGCAGACAATAAATTATATTCCTACAGATATTCACCTACCACTTCCCATGTGGGGGCATGAAAGTGAATTCACTTCGATTATAGAGATTCTTTCTATAAATGAAATGGTAGAGAATCATTAGATTACATTGATGCATATGCAGAAAGCCGCCTTTTAGGTTTATATAATGCTTTTGCCCTAACATATCACTATCTTTTTTTTCTTTATTTTGTATTTATAATACAATAGTTTGTGTTTATAAAATATAAATGTGGCCTGCATTCTGTACCCTGTGCAAACTCTTGAAATTAAACTGAGTTTTTTTTTTAAAGGTATTGTTTTAAATTAAGATTTCCTTTTGAAATGTTATAAAAGGATATATTAGAAATACAGTAATTAATTGTCCAGATTTTTATTTCTGTTGGAGAAACTTAGGTTTTTAAAGTAGCTAGTTAAAAAAAAAGCATCTAGAAAAGACTACTAAAAAAATGAATAGAGAAAAAATAAGAAATACAATTTCCTTTTGGTGAAATGAGTGATGTCTTCCTATAAGAAAATAAGACTTTGTATTTATTCAGAACAATAAAAAATGTAGATGTTGCCAGTGTATTAAGAATTAGTTAAGATGTTTTAAGTGAAGTACTTCGTATTAAAAATAATGTCATATCTTTTAGAAATTGCATACAGATTTCATGGTACCTAGGAATTTCCTCTTTCCCTAACCTATCCTCATATGTAGATAAGGATAAATTCTATAGACATAACCTTTCAGTCAGTATGAGATAAACAGTCTACAAATTTTTTTATATCAGTAGCATTTATCTTTTTGCATATATTATATACAAAATATTTAAGGTAAATGTCTTTTATTTTATTTTTTTGGTGGCTGGCTAGTATAGGGATTGAATCCTGGACCTTGTTTTATCAGCACCATGCTCTTACCAACCAAGTTAACTGGCCAGCCCTAAATGTCTTTTTAAAATTTCCATCTTTAATGGATTGGTATTCTTCAAGCACTGCATTTACAACCTTTTAGCAACACATGGGAAATCAGTTTGATCTCATCATTAGACTGTAATACAATGTTATCTCAAATGATGTTCCTATCCAGAAGCCTGGGAAACAGTATCTATACTTGACTGCAGTTGAGAGCCAAATTAACAGTAGATTGAACCAGTTAGGAGTTTAGTTCTCTCATATGTAGAAGTTCTGAGGCAATCTAGGGCTGGTATAGTGATTTTGTTCCACATTCCTTAAGGCCCAGGCTCTTTCCAGTCCTAGGTCCTCATTTTCACTTAGATCAAGAGCTAGAGCTCCAGTTATCACTTCTTAAAGTGTTTTTTAATGCCAAAGAAGTGAATAAAGGTAGTCAGAAAGTTCACCCACAAGGTCCTTGCTTTTCTCATTTTGTTCTGATTGGTATAAATTTCATCACATCTGTAGTTTCTGGAAATTTTTTTTGGCGGCTGACCGGTAAGGCAATCCAAATCTCTTGACCTTGGTGCTAGCAGTACCACGCTCTCCCAAGTGAGCTATCTGGCCAGTCCTAGTCTCTGGACATCTGGCTTTCAGAGGACAAAGGTGAATTCATAGTCCTGTTTTGGATGTTCTCTGACAGAGCCTTAAGGGCAGTTATTTAAAATGACTTTCTTAATTCACCCAACCTGGGCTGATCAAATGTAGTGTGCATATATTAGGTGGTTAAAGTAAACATAAACAGGCCTATTTATCAGATGCAGCGGACAAAAGAGAAGGCATCTATAACTAGTCCATCATCTATTCTCAATCCTGATTCCACAGCAGGATACATTCATGGTTTAGTCATTCTCCTTTGGGATGGACATAATATTAGTGACCAAGTCTCTTGGACAAGGATTGTCTCTGATGATCTCTGCCATACTCCTCTCCTTGGATAATTCAAGTGGTTAGACCTTACTCCCTGAACAGGAAGAACATGAGAGGCCAAAAGAAGTCTAGGAGATCCAGTAACTTCTAACATATTGCTTTCCCTTTTCCTCAAAAATCAGGAGTCCACCTTTCAATGTTCCCTTTCTCCTTTAGAGGTTGTAGTCACACCAGAGGCAGGCACTTTATGTGGACCTGTTTTCTCCTAAGATTCACTTGGAGAAATGAGTGGAGCTGCATTCCCAGCACTGAAAGAAGGTAGGAACCCAACAGTGCAGTGCTCAAGACCAGCTGACCAGTACGGGGTTATTTATACTGTCTTGCCATAGTAATGGAGTTTATAAACATGGATACCTGCTCTCTTAACTCATCAAAGTTTTAAGAGATTTCTTTTTTTACTATTTAACAATAAACTTCCTAGGTTTAAAATTAGGCTCAAAGAATACCTAATTGCTGAATAACTAAGTTCAAGGAGAAAGGTTGAACTACTATTTACCAGAGTCTCTGCTGAGGTGGAGGAAAGGGAAAAAACAAAAAATGTAGGACATGGATACTACCTTCACAAAGATCGCACTCTCACATGAGAGATACTCATTGAAAATTTAGTTACAACAGTATCCTAAGTGCAAAGAAGGATGTAAATGTAGAGAGGCAGCACAGAGAAGAGAGCAATTAGCATTGAGGAAGCTGTCAAGAAAGGCATTGTAGAAAAGTGACATTCAAGACAAATTTGGACAGATAATTGGGCAGGGTGAAGATGCAGGTTATTTCTAGCAGAGGGAGAAGCACAGAGGCATCAGAAATGATAGCTCAGAAACTGTGAGAAAGGAAGTGGGCATAACATTTCTTCATGTGCTAAGAAATTTAATTTTTTTCTTTTCAATAAAGTCACCTCCCAGGTCTTACCTTTGACACAGTGATCCCTTTATATCAAAAAGCATGAAGAAAAAAACCTCGCTGTGATGATTACTCAGGGATTATTAGGGTCAAAACTTGAGTCACTTAAAATTTTTGTCCTACACAGAATGTAGAAAAACACAGCTTTTCTATGAGTAGATGAACAACATTTGCTTTATGTACCTTTTTCCTTTGAATTTAAAATGACCATTTTGGAACTATTGTCAACAGTGCATAATAATATATTAGAATGTTTCCTAGCATCACCAGGGGAAAGAACAAGTGAAAGTTTAAATTGATATAAAAATGCACATAATTGCATAATTGAAAAAACAACCCTGCCAAACAAAACAAATACCATCTGGGAATTTCTGATAATAACATTGAATTTTGTTCACACAGCTTCAAATTCTTTTGATGTATTTTAGTTTTCAAAAGCCACAGTTGCTGGGCTGGCCCGGTGGCGCACTGCTACAGTGCGCCGCTTGGGAGCGTCAAACAAAACAAATACCATCTGGGAATTTCTGATAATAACATTGAATTTTGTTCACACAGCTTCAAATTCTTTTGATGTATTTTAGTTTCCAAAAGCCACAGTTGCTGGGCTGGCCCGGTGGCGCACTGCTACAGTGCGCCGCTTGGGAGCGCGGCGGCGAAACGGAGCGCCGAGGGTTCGGATCCCACATACAGACCGGTTCCCGCTCACTGGCTGAGCGAGGTGCGGGCGCAACACCGAGGGTTGCGATCCCGTTGCCGGTCCCAGTCCGGTACAGGCGCGACACTGAGGGTTGCGATCTGTTGCCGGACACGAAAAAAAGAGATAAAAAGGAAAAAAAAAAAAAAAGCCACAGTTGCTTACATTATATTAAGCAAATACAAGGGTACTTCAAAAAGTTCGTGGAAAAAGGAATTAAAAGGTAATATGAATCTTTCCGTGAACTTTTTGAAGACCCCCCCCCTTATATGCTTGTAAGGAAACATTAATTTTTGATAAATACTACCATAATTTCTGTTCTTAAAAGGAAAAAAATGACATTTTAAGATTATATGCAAGGGATATCCAATTAATTAAAAATTAAAAAGCCACTAACTAGGTTTCATTAGGCCAGAAAAATCAAATTTTGCTAGTCAGAAACAGCCAGGTACAAAAACAGCAGGAACTTTTAGTCACTTCAGTATTTGCATCTTTGTCTATCATATACTTAAGTATCAAACAGTGTTAACATTTTGTTTTATGAACCAAATATATCTTTAATATAACTTAGTAAAATAGTTTTTTTGATTGGTTTGTTTAATAGACTATCTTTGTTCTAGTATCAATTCCATAAATGGCAGTAAAACTGTATCCCACGATAACAATCTTTTGACATAAGTACTAAACCATTACATTTTAAAGAGGAAAATATATGTTAGGTTAAGTTTTTGAACAGAATCATGCAGCCAGTAAAAGGCAGTGTCAGGATTTGAACTCAAATTAATCTGAGTTTGAGTTCAAGCTCTTAACCAATACATATTTGCCAGTTCTCATGTCATGCACAAAAATAATGTTTTTATAAATGGAAAGAATGAATGTGAAGATGTCTTCACCTCTGTAAAAGAAAGGTTATATATAAATATAAGTGGCATTTATTGGTACTAACTTACCATAATGTTATGTTCAGCTTTACATGTTTTTGCCTTTAATTTTAGTATACCGCTAAGTGTATTACTGTAATAACGTATAAATGTGTACTTTAAAGATCCATTTCTGTATTTTCATATAGGAATTGTATATGAGCAAAAAGGAACTTTAGAAATTAATCCTGTTATTCATTCATATAATTGAATTATCATGTAAATCGTGTTACTAAAGGAAACCACAGTCCAGAGAAGTTAAGTACCTAGTGTGAAGGTGTGCAGCCATTTAATGATGGATCTACGATATATGCCTCTGATTAATGAAGACTACAGAGGAATGATCTTAAGTACAATCTGTTATAAAGCTTAGAAATATGTCAAACAGTTTTATGTATAGTTAATGAAAGTATAAATAACATGCCTCAGACTTATTGTCAGATGACTTTTAATGGTTGTTTCAGGAAGAGGAAATCCTTTTTTTTTTTAATGTCTGTAACATTTCACATTTAAAAAATATCTTAATACTGTGTCCAAACTAGCCTTACTTGAATAAATAAAAACATAGTAGGGGAGAGACAGCATGTTAACTTGCAATATGTAAGTAAACTTGGTGGGGGCATCTGGGAAGATAGCTTTCCATATCCTCACTGTAGTGTTTTCTGACTTGATTGGTAAAATCCAATAGATTACAAAGAAAGTGGAATGCCTTGAAGAAATGAAGCTATTTCCATTACACCAGGTTCAATAGGTCCCTAATCCTTAGAGTAAAACAGTACAAAATGGTGGAATAATTTTTAATATTTGAGGTTTTATGTGGGAGACTACAGAGATCAAGCGCAAAAATAAAAGTAAATCTCATTACTCTTTAGGAAAACTAGGATTGCAGGTTTGGATCCCATGTGTGGAGCCCCACATTCCAAATCATCTAATGTTCTTTTCTAGTTAGCTTGTAGAAATCTACAATGGAGGAAAACACTGTTTGTACTAATATAAGTGTGTTACAGATTGATAAAAAGTCAAATAACAGTTCTGTACATGTACTTATAAGTGAAATTAAACCCTCCCATATGAAAATGAAAGTATTTTAATGGTATTAAATCCTTTCATTTTCTAAAAGTTTTTTTAATGAAACACTAAAATTTAACAACTGTGCTGCCTCATTTATTTGTTAAAGGACTGGTACAAGCCATTAAG